GAGTCACACACACTGGGTCCTGTCCCACATACAGCGTCTGGGGTTTGTGGTGAACAGAGAAAGGAGCAGGCTGCTGCCGGCTCAGCGCTTGATTTATCTCGGCCTGCAGCTGGACTCGGTGACGTTCAGTGCTGCATTGTCCGAGGACAGACGGAGAGGCATCACCCGTCTGGCAAAGGAGGAGCTGGCGGGTCCCAGGGTCCCCGCGCGGCGCCTCAGATCTCTTCTGGGGATGATGGCGGCGCCTCATACTGTGGTACGGTTAGGCCTTCTCCACATGAGAATGTTTCAGAGATGGTTCTCACGTCTCAAGCTTCACCCCTCACGGGACAGGGGGAGGCTGATCTGGGTTCCCCAAATCGCAGCATCGGACATCAAGTTTTGGCTCACTCCGGGTCTGTTGCGGACCGGAGTGTCTCTGGTCAGCGCCCGTATCTCACGTGGAGGTGTTCACGGACGCGTCACTCGAAGGGTGGGGCGGGGTCCTCGGTCAGAGCTCCGTAGGAGGCTGCTGGTCGGACTCAGCCCGCCACATCAACCTTCTGGAAATGGAGGCAGTGCACAGGGTGCTGCTGCACTTTGCCCCACAGCTGCAGGGGAGGAATGTGATGGTTCGCTCAGACAACACAGACAGGGGAGGCACCCGATCCCCCGCTCTCCATCGCATGGCGACGGTGATTCTGCTGTGGGCAGAGCTTCACCTCCTGTCCCTAAGAGCACGCCACGTCCCGGGTGCCCGGAACGTGGGGGCCGACAGAATGTCCAGGGGGAGCCCACTCCAGGACGAGTGGGGCCTGGCCCCGCGGATAACTGCAGAGATCCGGCGGAGGTTCGGCCGTCCAGTGGTCAACCTTTTCGCCAGTGCAGAGAACGCACAGTGCCCGTCCTGGTTCGCCTTAAGGGCCGCGGACGAGCCGTCCCTAGGGGTGGACGCCATGGCTCACTACCCGTGGCCAGGGGGCCTGCTGTATGCGTTCCCACCAGTTTGTCTCCTGCCGGTCCTGCTGCGGAGGATCGAGCAGGAGGGGAGATCGGTGATCTTGGTGGCTCCAGACAGTCCGCATGCCCGGTGGTTTCCCTTCCTGAGGGGCATGTCAGTGATGGAACCTTGGGCCCTCCCGGACGAGCCGGGGGCTTTAGTCAAAGGGGGGGGGGGGGGCCTGTTCTCACGCCCGTTATCGGCCGCGGGCTCTGGGCTTGGAGGTTGAGAGGCGGAACCTCGTTGACCTGGGTCTTCCTCCGGCGGTGGTGGAGACTATTCAGGGGGCGAGGGCGCCGTCCACGGTGAGAGCCTACAACACCAGATGCAGGCTCTTCAGCGTCTGGTGCAGTGCTCGCTCTTGGGATCCCAGGCGCTGCCCCTTGGAGGGAGTCCTGGGCTTTCTACAGGAACTCTTTGAAAAAGGGGAGGGCTGTCGGTACCCTGGCGGTGTTCGCGGCAGCCATCACCTTGGGTCACGGTGGCTTCAATGGGTTCACGGCCCGTTCTCATCCTTCAGTGAAAAGTTTTTTGCGGGGGGCCCGCAGGAAGAGGCCCCCGCTTCAGAGAACGCCCCCAGTGTGGGACCTCAGAGTGGTCCTTAGGGGTCTGTCGGGCCCGCCTTTTGAACCAGTGTCGGAGGCGAGTCCCGAGTGTGTTGCTTTTAAGACTGCCCTCTTGCTGGCGTTGGCGTCTGCTAAGAGGGCGGGCGATTTGTGTGCGCTCTCCAAACATGCGTCTTGCCTGTCCTTTGGAGAGGGGGACGGACTGGTAGAGTTGTGGCCCAATCCGGCCTTTCCCCCTAAGGTCATTACTTCGGCCTTCAGGTCGAGAGTGATCAGGATTAGGGCCTTCCATCCGCCGCTGCATGCCTCCCCCGAGGAGGAGCGGCGGCACCTTCTGTGTCCTTTCAGAATGTTTAGGCATTACCTGGCCATGACGTCTTCATTCAGGTTTGTTGATCAGCTGTTTGTGTGTCTGGGCCCCAAGAACAGGGGCGCTCCGCTGTCGGCTCAGCGGCTGGCGTACTGGGTCGCCACGGCTGTGCGGCGGGCGTATCAGGCTCAGGGTCTGGCCTTCAGGTCGCATTCCACGCGTGGGGTGGCGGCCTCTACGGCCCTCCTCAGGGAGGCTTCGGTCGAGGACGTGTGCCGTGCGGCTTCTTGGGCGTCGTCCTCTTCTTTCGTCCGGTCTTACCTTTTGGATGTGTCGGACCGGTCGGTGGCCCATTCCGTGCTTAGTGCAGCGGACTGAGTTGTAACCTTTATGTTCCCCTCTTAGGGGCCGACGGTTGACTTTCCGCCCTGGTTCAGGAGCTCTTGGGAGTGGCGTCCTGCAGGTGCGATATATGTGTGTGCTTTGGTCAGTCAGGTAGTCCACGTCAGGAGCTCTTGGGAGAGGCGTCCTGGGACTACGGGTGACCTTCGGTCTGTGTTACTTGGGGGTGTCCTTGGGAGGAGTGGCCCTGTAACACGCAATTGCTTTTTCTGCCATGAGTCCTCTCACTGTGTGAGGGTCTTGCTCGGGCGGGGCTCCAATCACTCTTCGCTGGCCTGCTGGGAGTACATGTTCCTACGGCCTCCGCGTTGTGTCCCACTAGCGAAGTCCTAAGGGACGTAGCACCATGACGTAGAATGAATAGTTACCTATGTAACTTAAGTTCTACGAATAGGTGCGTAGTCCCTTAGCTACGAGCCCATCAGGCCAGCCCGGCTTGGCAGAGTTCAAGAGGGGGCGCGGCCTTGTGCAGGGGCTTTTATAGAGGAGGGTCGCTAGTGATTGGAGCATATTTTTATATATTTGATCTCTCTGGCGTGTGACCTGGGGGTCACGTGATATTCCACCTATTCGTAGAACTTAAGTTTTATAGGTAACTATTAATTCTGTTATGCTCCGGTGGTACATGCCGTGTAGGGGCTTGTTCTCCCATGATGGGCTCTCCTCCAGCACCTCCTCATCTCGCCACTGCCTGAGACATTCACTGAGTACGTCATCCGTTTTGGCCTTCTCCATGATGTAGTTATGGAGTTTGGATGTTTCGTCCTGGACAGTGGCTCTCACACTCACTAGTCCTCGGCCTCCTTCTTTACGGCTTACGTACAGTCTCAGGGTGCTGGATTTTTTTCATGGTGCTGCATATATATATATATATATAAATATGCGTATAACATGTAACAGCAACAAACAACAACAGCAAATTACAAAGGTTTGTTTTCATTGCACCATGAGCACGTGCTGCCCTCATGTGGCTAATGTCTGTCATGTACCAAAAATGTTTGTAGCCATATAGTTCTGCTGAATCCCTACAGGTGATCTATTGTTTACACATCTATCATGTACATGGTCGAATTTCTACAGAAACACTGGAACACTCTGGTTTATAAATAAAATAAACGACCACAGGCTAATTTGTATATTTTTTAACCAGAATTTTTATTATTGAATATTTTACTACAAAGAACCTGTAGATGTGTGTTTTATGGTTTTTTTTGTAGCAAATATGAAATACATTTTGTCCTGAGCTTTACTATGATCAAAATGTCTTTTTGCTAATCCAGTGGTTCAGTGGAACAGCGGCATCACGTCAAGCTCCTCCTTTGTGACTGAGCCCAAGCCATCACCTAAAACATGACATTGTCGAATGTGGGAATGTAGAGTGACTGGTAAATCAAGGGCTTTCGACTCAGACTCGGCTTGTGGCTCGTGGACCCTAGGGGTGGTTTGGTTCCTCGGCTTCATCTCTCCTCTGGGTCCTGGGTCCAAACTAACAAACTAACATCTATGCTGGACCATGACTGTCACCCCCTGCAGGACACTCTCTCTGCTCTGGAGAGCAGCTTCAGTGACAGACTAATTCACCCTCGCTGTGTGAAGGAGAGGTTCCGTAGGTCTTTCCTTCCTGCTGCTGTCAGACTGTACAACGAGAATGTGTAACAGGAACTGCTGAGTCTGTACAAGTGTCACTGCTAATTCACTAGTAACTTTGTCACTAGGCACTTTACCTGTTATCAGTACTACTGTATTATTACATATCCATCTGATATTTCTTCCTTTCACCAGTCACTTTACCTGTTGATATTATTTCTGATGTTTATTCTGCTTATATTCATATTCTCCGCTGCTAATGTATAATTTAGTCATCTGTAAATACTTCCGAACCAAGTGCAATTATAGCCCAGAGTTTATCTTATTTTATTTTTATCTTAATTTTATTGTCTATTATCTTAAATAATAGACTCAATTTGATGCGTGCAATCTGTGTGCTCTGATTTCCTTTCTCTGCTGTAATGTGCGCAACAATGACGCTGAAATTTCTCCACTGTGAGACGAATAAAGGTTTATCTTATCTTGTCCCCTGTGGCTGAAAGCAGTTCTCTGCTCTTGGAGCAGACGGCTCCTCGGATGGTGCTTCCCCGGCTGGTTTCACCTTTCACCTTTTCTAGTGTTTGGATTGAATTGTAAAATCACTTTGTGTTACATTGTTTTTATGAAAAGCTTTGTAAATAAAGTTTGATTGTTTTGACTCAAGTATTCAGTGATTAAACGGACTAAGAATGACGTTACAGTGTAATATTTTGTACTCGAATGTAGACACAACACACACATATTATAATTATATCATGCTGATGATTATTATTTAGTTATTATTAATGTAGCACGTGACTGCCTCCACGCCCTTGGCCCAGTGGTCCAATGATGAAGTTTCAGCCCGGAGGAGCATGTCAACAACTGGTCCCAGGCAGCAAAGGTGTCATTTATCTCAGGCCAACTTTACCCAGTCTTAAAAAAGACTTTTCGTCTTTTAATAATGATAGATTAATCCGATTAAGCTACGGATATCCACCGAGCTTCATAAATGTCTTTCAGCGTTAGTGTCAGAAGTTGGCTAACTAGTTCTTAGCTAGCTAGCTACATGTGCTAACACCAGTGTGGACAGTGACATTAACATATTCCTCGCTGAGCAGTCTGTTTGTCTTTCACGGATTTAAAGAAATAAGACAGGGGAGGAAATACATCCACAATGGATCCGTTTGACAGTCGCAATTCAGGTAAGAAAATAAGAAAGCATTGACATTAGGCTAAGAGGAGAGCGGTCAGCTAGTGTCCAACATTAGCTACACACTGACATTAGACGGTATCCTTCCTTTGCAATCATGCATTATCATTTGTATTAAGTTCACCCACTGCCTGTTTGTTTTGATGCATTATTACTGATGTATCACCAATCTGTACCATGCTCTTTTGTTAGTTACTTGGCATGAGAGAGTTTCTTGCGAGGACTGAATGTTACCCAGAATGATTGTCTTCACTTAATATAGCATTTGTTTTCAAGTCGTGCATTGTCTTGTATTGTGTATTACATTGTATTGATTTTGACTGCAGTAGCTGCACACCAGGCCGTCACTAGCCTTTACAATAGGTTCATGACGCATCCGCCTTAACTGAGCAGCCATAAAGATACAAAAATAGCAAGCTATATAAGCCCCGATGGACAATATTACCACAGCGTCACATACACAATGCACTTCCTGATTACCTATGATATAATGGTGAGAGTAGGAACTAAAGGCGGTTACTGGCTGTTAGCAAATGTGTACTAACCACTGACTGGAGCTCACTGCCAGATCAACATTTCAGATTATTATAAAGGTCTTTTAACCTTTGTTATAATGGACACTCTTACATTCTATCATAGTGCATATGACCAGTTAGACCAGTATAATGTGTATTTTACTTCCTAGTTTGACATTGGCAGCCATAGACATATTTTAAGTGGGCCGAAGGTATGACTCTTTTGTATTACCATTTTGTACAACCATTAGGAACCAGCAAAATGTATTTTGTTAATACATTTTACATGCATTTAAGGAATAATCTTGTATTTATTTTGTTAAACCTTTTTATTAAATAAACAGGTTTCTTTGTCTAACAAAGTAGCAATTTAATTATGTCCTTGCAAGATACAAAATGTATAGTTTAATCAATAACACAAATACATATATGCATTTTACGTGATATAATCTGTCTGTCGGAAGTTGGATTGAAGATTCAAGTTTATTTGCATTGCACAGTTCACAGGGCAACTCGATGCGCAAAACAAGAAAAGCAACATTAAAATAATGAAAAATCACAGTGCATTTAAGAGAGTGAAGGAATAGACGCCTTGAACCTGCGATTAAATTATTTGTGTTGCTGTCTTCAATTACATTATTGAGAGATGTAATTGAAGACAGCCACTGTTGTTTTGTTATTAAATTAGGTGGTCAGCGGTAACATTTCTGTGGGAGAATCACATGTTTTCTGCACACACAAGCCTTCTTCTGCTTTTATAATGCAATTTAAGACAATTCAGGAGGTTATATAAATGACAATGTTTAAGTTTTACGATCTGACTTTGAATATTATACTTTACTTATATTATACACTCAATAATAATTCATACTATAAAAAGGAATAGCATATGTTATACAAGTGTTTCTGAGATAATAATTTATGATAATTATCAAATTATATTATTCAATAACTCTGAAATAAGTTTGTTTGATAAAATATATCTGAATCTGCTGCAAAAGCATTCTGGTTTAATACCACCAGGAAGTTGATGAAAGTCTTCTTTGTTCAGACTTCTCGTGTTGCCTTAAGTGACAATAACGAGTTGCATGTGGGTCAATGGCCTGGAAAGTTCTTCTACAGCATGACCTGAATGAGACGTGCATAGAACTAAATGAGGAACCTAACCATAGACACTTTCTCTTCCTCTTAAATCATTCTCTTTCTTGTAGAGCGGATAAACCTACCTCGAAACATGATAGAGAACAGCATGTTTGAAGAAGAGCCTGATGTTGTTGACTTAGCAAAAGACTCCACCACCTTTCCCGTAAGTTGTTTTTAAGTCCTGTATGATGTCAATATAGAACTAACATAGTCTCTATACATATTTACAAAGTAAAACTAGGGCTGTCAAACAATACATTTTTTAAATCGAGTTTAAAAATTGATTAATTGTAATTAATCACATTTCAAGCTATCAGCAAAAATATGCCATATTTTTCTGAAAATGGTTGTTTGAACGGAAAGATAAATGACAACATAATGTCCATATGTACTGTAAATCTTTTTATAAATACAATAAATCCATATAAAATGGTATTAACATTATTAACATTCTGTCTTTCTGTAGTGACTCCAAAAATACTTTTTGTTACATGGATGAGGGACATTTAAAAAAAGTCTGAAATGCACAATGTCATTAAAGCCATCCTGTGTAATTTTTACAGCTGCTCCATGGGCAAAAACATGTTAACTAATAACAAATGTGACCTTTTTAAGAATATTTACATCCACCATGTTTTTTGAATTGTATTCATATGCTTAGAATTTAACTTATAAGGCCCAGTCCCAATACTAGCACTTCCACCCTCGCGCCCCTCATTTGCGCGTTCCCGATGATGGGTGCGAGTGCGTAGGGTGTCCCAATTCTCCAGGGAGGTCTTTGGCCCCGCCCCCTTTGCGCCCCTGATCCACACTTTGCCGTATCCTGCATCTAAGCGGACTCTGGCGAAGGGTATTGCCCATAATTCTTTGCGGTACACCGCAAAACGTCGGGAAAATGCATTTAAGTGTATGTTTTGAAATATATATGCTGTATGTGTGTAAATAAGTTTTGCTACGTTACTTGGAAAGAAGCATAAATGTCTGATGAAGAATTACGGACATTGTATTTTAATTTAATACTTTAAGAACTTTTTAAAGCAAGCATTCATATAACATTCAATTTAAACTTTACACAAGTACAATAATCTTAGGATGTATAAAAACTGACCAGATAACAGTTAGTTACCCACATTTAACTTAAAATTATACAGCTATCTCAAATTACAAATAACCGATATAAATTTATTTTAATGTGTGTGGAGCAACTCATTTTGTTTCCCACAGGGTCAGACAAAATTACCTTTAATTTTTATAAAGTTTAGGTCTGAAAATGACCATCTCTTGACTAGTCGATGACGTAATCTGCACACAGTGTGCACTGTCCCAATTCAGCCTTTTTTGCACGCTTGTAACCTGCGCACTCAAACCCTTGCGTGCACTTCAAACAAATGCACACTTCGTAGAAGAGTGTAGGGTGCAGTATGGGTATTGGGATTGGGCCTAAGTGTCCATGAGAGAGGAGTGCTCTCAGTGAATATGCGCCATCTTGAAAAACGGTGGTGGATAAGAGACAAAAAGGATGCGAGAATCGCGTTTTTGTTTCACATGAGCTACTGATATCGTTGCTTTCACATTGCCTTCACAAGTTGGAACAAGGAACCATGGAAGACCACAGTTGTATAAAAGAACCATGGAGGACCACAATTATGTAAAAGAACGATCCGAACAACAATCTTTTAGAAAAATAATTATGCAGAAGTCCAGCGTCATAGCAGCAAAGTGTCAACATCGCAAACCACACGCACAAAGACGGCGTTAACAACAGGAGGCACATTGTGTAGTTTGTACACAACAGACTCACATGAACAATATGTAACTTTCACACTGACAATAATGAGACCGAGACAAACTCTGCAACACAGTCCCAGGATGTTCTGACCCGATCCGAGCCCAGTCCAACTACTATGTCACAAGTTTCAACTAAACGTATTCAGGGAAAAGCCTCAAATAAAACACACACAGAATCCCCACAAAACAATCGCCAGAATACTTTATCAGCAGCGTGAGTGAATGTTCTGTTTCTTACTGTAACGGAGATAGGGCTCTGTGGCTAATGCTAATGCTAACATGAGCTTTTAGCCATGTCCTGCTGTGTATATCTCCTGCTTCTTTGATCACCGTAGTTTTAAATAATGCTCAAACGGGAATTAAACTGTGAGGATACTGGGCGTTTTTGTGACACAGCAGGGCTCTTTGATTGTTCTGTAATTGTGTTTTTATAAAGTTTACATATCGCTCTGAGTGGCCACAGTCAAAGCTCTACCTCAGAGAGAAAGCACAGTGACACTTTTGGCTCACAGCTGAATGTATTAGGGATGTAAATCGGTGACCGTTTAACCGGTGGTTGACCGTCACAGCGTTAACCGGTCAAACCTGTCGGTTAAAAAAAGAAAAGGGGGAGAGAGGAGGTCTCTCTAAAACGCTATTTTAAGCCCTTTTTGCACGGTGTGACGAGCGGGTCCGTATGTAGCTGTGTGCGCCAATGTATCAGTAAACTCAGAGCTGACTTTCATGCCGCACGCGCCACACACACATGCACACACACATGCGCGCACACACACACACACACATTTTCCACCCTCCATTGATACGTAACAGCCACACGCATCCTCTCTCCCCTCTGTTACTAATCCGCCAAAGTTGCACACTAGTGCGGGCCAGAACATACACACATACATAGATGTACACACATACCGGTCTGTCGCGCTCATCTGTGTCACTCAGCCCAAAGGATCCTCGCGGCTCCAGTCAAACCATATGGGAACATGTTTGTGCTGATGGTCATTGGCATCAGCTCCACACACATCACTTGTATTTAAACTTTAGAGGAGACCTGCAAGACGCGGCTCGTCACTCGCTGCTCTTACCATGTGAACGAGCCGTCTTTTGCTTAAAAATGCTTTAACCCGCAGCACGGAAGAGTAAAAAAGCAGTTCTCTGTGCGCAAAGGTGCCGGAACTGTTGCGGGTTTTGGCGCCGCTGTCTTGGCTCTGATCCAGTAGAACACAGAGCTGCACTTATGAAAAGTACGCGGCTCGAAATGGCTGTTATTTCAAAGAACCTGGGATATTTTAAACTACGTGGTTAACCGGTTTCAACCGGTTAATGAGGCTCGGTGGTCGGTCATGAAAATTTTTAGTTTTTTACATCCCTAGAATGTATCAATCTAATTACTAAAAACCGTCACTTGAACCCATCTAAAAGCCATAGGATAGCATAGGCAGGAAGTGAAAGGGCTGTGCTTTGTTAACAGGAAATGACATCACGCCTCCCCGTGCATATAGCCCATATAAGATCTCAACGCTAGATGGCACTAAATATTACACAGTGTATCTTCAAATGCGTTTGATTTGCTCACAACAATTTACTTTTGGGCACAACCAACATGAACTGGTAGTGGAAGGGAAAAATTAGGTACCCTAACTTTAATATAGCGAGTACACTTTGGGAGGAGACTGAGGCTCCGTAGTCCAGGTTCAGTGGTGTATTTATTGCATCATGCACAGTAGGGTTTAATCCCGAGACACGGGATTCCCGGGAAATCTGATCAAAACTATTTCCCGATTCCCGGGAAATGTTATGACGGGAACCGGGAAATTAAAGTTAAAAAAAAAAATCCAGTGCGCTCCAATTATAGAGCACGTTTATTGTTGTTCAAAGTTGAAACATATTTCATTTACAATCAACATGTCTACAGCTGAGAGGATGGCTCATAAATTGTGTTTTTGACAACAAATATGGGTCTTAATCGCGCTAAACCACGACTTGTAATGAGGCCAGCCTCAGGGTACGGGGCACATGAGAGCCCAGAATTTGGCTACGTCCAATTCTATCAGAAAGCTCCTTTCTTTTTTTTCCATCTGCTAAGGGCAGCAACAGGTTTGGCTAACATACATATAACACATTTTAAGATCATATAAAATGCATTTAGGGTAATGTTCTGCTTCCAATGACGATAGGAATGATAAGGAAGAGAGGAGAAGGGTAAGAAGGTTGATATTAGAAATTGGATGAGCCCGAGAGCCGGCTGCAGCGAACACACGGAGGAGTTTATGGAGGTGGCACCCGTTTTGTTTTACGCTTTAAAACTCTTTGGGCTTATTTCCAAATGGGGGATTACATATCTGCGCTCAAACTATTATCTGGACTTAAACATGAAACTGGTCTGAACTGAAGTGGTCTGTGCTGTTCATTAATAACTAAGGTAAGACCCATAACACAATTGGAAATGTGCCTTTTACGAACTTTTGCGTTTTGTTTGAGCAAACAATGCGGGCCATGGAAAACATTCTGCTGTAGCCAAACTAATTATGAATAAGCCGCTTTGTAGGTTCTGTTGATTTTTATGATATATGTTCATCTGATTGGGCTGAAGTCAGTGCCTCCAAACCACACCGCACGTCACTGGTCGACAAGTGGATTGTGCAGACATTTAGAATCTCATAATAGTGAAATTCCTGAAGAAAGCCCATCAACAAAACGTCTGAAAACGCTATGGCTACTTTAGAAAAGCTAGCAAGTCGCTTGGTGAAACACTAGTGGAGACGGCAGCTTTTGTTGGATTATATATTTGAGTGATATCATACATTACTTGGGCTAAAAACAACAACTACAAACAACAGCTATTTCCCGGGAATTCCCGGGAACGGCGTCGTCTTTTCCCGGGATTTGATATGGCTCATTTTCGGGAAAAATATTAAACCCTAATGCACAGGTTACGCAAAGACCCGCACACAACAAGCAAAGAATAGTCCTGTGCGCGTGACGCTACTGAGGCGCCGTTTGCCGTGTTGTTGCGACAGACGCTGGAGGTGGGAACCTCTGTCCAGAGCGGCCGCAGCTGCCCAGGGTCGGAACGCTGCGGCCACGGAGGATGCATAATCCCGTTCAGCGCATATTCTTTTTAAACTTGAATTCCCAGAGACCTGCTCTGTCGCCATCACTCGCGTGTTTCCGTGGCATTCTGAGGGATATTATGGGATGGATGTGCGGGTCATTCGTACATGCGTTAAATGCAATATTTTTTTACGCGATTAATGACAAAAAATAATTAACGTGCGTTAACGCGATAATTATGACAGCTCTAAGTAAAACATAAGTTTACTTATACTTTTCTTTTAATTTAGTTGTTGGTTTTTTGTTACTATAGTTTTAAATTGTATTTTTTACTCTCTGCAAAGTCAGAAGTATAATTTGATTTCAAAAGTTTACATATTGTAAGTTAAGTCTTCCTACAGTATGCAAACTACCAGTTTGTATGAACTACATGTATGAATTTTGATTTGATTGTACAAATGAAAGAATGGTTATTTTTCCAACAGATGATTCATTTATTTAATCGCTATTTTGTAACTCGTCTGTAGACATTTCCTCCTCTAGACCCTGATGATGTGGTGTATGAGCCATGCAGCTCTCGGCTACTTGTTCGGGGCCTGGCAGAAAACGACCTGGACGATGAAGAGGAAGACTGCGAATCTTCGGCTCGACTTCTTGGTATGTCCTTCATGAACTGCAGCTCTACTCAAGGAGTTGCTGCCTCACCTTACACGCGGCAAGATGCACCAAGGTTAATATGCACATAAAACGTTGTTCCAGTTGGGCCTTTTATTTACTGAATGGTGTCTGTTCTCCCCCGTAGCTCCTGCTCTCGGCCCTCTACACGCACAATGGTTGTGTGTGTGCTCCTGTTGGTCATAGTTGTCTCTATGACCATGGTACTATACCTGTTACCCGGTTGTACATTTACCAAGGTAAGCCCACTTGGATGGAGAGGTATAAAACTATAAAACATAAAAAAACATTGTTTTTCAGACTGGTTGCCCAAAACAGAATGAAACAAGTCCCTCTGAAGTCGTCTATCCTATTGCCACTAATGGCGAAGTGTTTCCCTGGGCACAGCTGCGGCTTCCACAAAGCATACGCCCCCTCAGCTACGACCTCACCCTGAACCCAGACCTTGACAAAATGACATTCACTGGACACGCTGTCATCTCCATGTTTGTTCGGCATAATACTAAGCACATTGTTCTGCACGGCATGAATCTCAATATTACTACAGCAACATTTAAGGTAATTCTTTTAAGTTTATCTACAGTATACAATGTTACTTTCATGATGTGGTTTTTTACAACTGTCAACTACAAAGAAAATGACAGTATCGGTTCTCATTATCTCATTTACTTATTCATCCTTTTGGAGACAGGGTTTGAGTTTAATTTTGTTCTACAAAAGATTTAATGCAAAGCAAGAACCATAAACACTGGTGCCAGAATAACATAGAAAAAATAATTCCAAAACTATCCTGCTTCAAAATAATACTGCGGGCTTACACCACAAATCTGTTTTTGTATTTAATGTCCGGGTAATGTTATGATTATTCACAATTATTTGTATATGTTTCATTATGAGAATTCTTGATCTGCAAGCAAGGATCAAGCCTATATTTGTTATGATGTTGATAGTTGCTTACAGCTTTTTAAAACTTCAAATGAACCCTGAAAAACGAGGGTAAGCTTTGGCATATGTCACTCTGCATGTAATGAGTCTATATAGTCTATATCATATATTAGTGACCTCTATTCTAACCCCATTACTTTGCTTAACAGCTCGGTGACGGAAAGGCTACCGCAGTGACTGTTCTGGAGTATAAACAAAAGCAACAAATAGCTGTCAAGCTCACAGAGGACCTGCCGGCTGGCCAGCACTGTGTTTTGACTCTAGATTATTCTGCTGACCTTTCTCACACATATGATGGCTTTTACAACAGCTCGTACATTGACAAAGAAGGGAACACAATGTATGTTTATAGGTGCAATTTTCTCTAAATGTGTCCTTTGTCATCTGACGTTTACTTCCCTTTCTAATAAGGGTGCTGGCTGCAACACAGTTTGAGCCTTTATCAGCAAGAAAGGCATTTCCATGTTTTGATGAACCGTCTTTCAAAGCTACTTTTCACATTAAAATCAGTCACAAGGAAGACTACATGTCCCTCTCCAACATGCCCAAGGTAAATAAATGATAAATCTGCACCTTCTGCTGATCTTGTTGTTGTTTTCAAATATGTATTAACAGGCTTCTGTTTTTAGAGAAAAACCACCAAGTTACCAAATGGTCTAGTTCTGGATGAATTTGAAAAGACCAGTGTCAACATGAGCACCTACCTTGTCGCATTTATAGTTTCCAACTTTACTCCAATCAGCAAAAACGTCTCAAATACCTTGGCAAGTCAACATTCTGTAGTAATGAGAAAGCCCATCAGTAATATTACATTTCTATTCATTATTTTGATCTTCTCTTTTACATTTATCTGCAGCTATCAGTTTACTCCGTACCAGAGAAAAAAGAACACACTAGCTTTGCTCTTGATGCAGCCTCCAAATTGCTGGAGTTCTACAACAACTTCTTTGATATTCCTTATCCTCTCCAAAAGCTTGGTGAGCCAGTAGATGGTATTTATATATTGTGTGATTTATTTGCCATATTAATCATTGTTGATTACTGTTCTTGTCAGATCTAGTAGCAATCCCGGATTTCCTGGCAGGTGCTATGGAAAACTGGGGGTTAATCACCTTTAGGGAAACCAGTCTTTTGGTGGGTTCACTTTCCTCTGCACTTGAAAAACAAGTGGTTGCCTCAGTTGTAGCTCATGAACTTGCACATCAGGTTGGTGTTTGTCTTTGTTCATTTGTAAAGTCAAATGTTCTTTAACCAAGAAACATTTTTACAGTGGTTTGGAAACCTTGTGACTATGAGCTGGTGGAATGATTTGTGGTTGAATGAAGGCTTTGCTACTTACATGCAGTATATGTCAATACAACATGTCTTGCCTGAGCTGGACATTGTAAGTTCTGAATTGTACTTTTTCTTCCTGTTCCCAGTACTTATTTTGACACAACTGCTACAATTTACAGGAAAATGTGTTCCTTGATGTGCGGTTAAGAGCAATGGAGAAAGATGCGTTGAACTCATCTCATGCTGTTTCAACTGAAGTCAACACCCCAGAGCAGGTGGAAGAGATGTTCGACTCAGTCTCCTATGAAAAGGTGCACTTCACTAAACATTCGAGACACAAGATAATAATACAAAATAAATCACACGTTTTTTCGCCAGGGAGCGTCTATTCTCCTGATGCTTAATGCCTCGCTCCCAAAAGACCAACAGTTCAGAAAAGGGATCATACAATATCTGAAGCAGTTCAGCGGACTAAACACATACACAAATGACCTCTGGAACAGTCTCACAGACGTAAGCTTATTTATAAGTGAATTTTGTCAGTCCTGAATGATCTAACATGACTCTCTACTCCCCTCTGGTGGTTTTTTTGTTTTTGTGCATTTATTGGTTCTCACCTTGGGTAATGGAAATACCCATGCTTTAATTATTTACCTATTTTTCGGATTATAAATTGCTCCAGAGTATAAATCGCACTAGCCAAAAATTTATAATAAAGAAGTGGAAAAACATGTATAAGTCGCACGAGAGAATAAGCATTTTTGTGGGTTATGACGACCAAGATACTTTTACTAATACAAAAAGAAAACTGAAAAATGATACACGTATCGCTCTTCCTAACTCAATTTAATAGTCCGGGATGTTATGTGATATTTTACGGTAAATAAAATATAAAATGTTATAATTTCACACACAAGGAGCTCCAGAGTATAAGTCGCGCCCCCGGCCAAACTATGACAAAAACTGGGACTTATTAACCGTAAAATATGGTATAACTGCACAACATCGCTGGTGGTGTGTAATCTGGTGTTAGCTAGGCTAGCTCTTAAACAGTACAGTATATACAGATAGCATTTTATTAGACAAAGATGAATATGGGCATACGTTTCCAAGTGTCAATACCCACCAGAGATGTCCAGCTTTACCCCAGAGACACATGCTGCCTTTGTATCATATCATGTAGGTGTAAAATCATGGTATAAAACAATGCAGTAGTTTAAGCGCTCTATCAGTTTGGGTTGTTTCTGCTTCTTTTCTAAAAAAGTAAAGATTTGTGAAAGCACATACAGTATATTGTTTCACTTGAACAATAGATTTGCCACAGTCCATTTGATATTATATATTTGGTCTTGGTCCTTGACAAATAAGAAAGATATAGTTGAGGTTAATTGATGAGTATTTTCTTAGTTTAACAATGAAAAGGGGATCATAGTTTTCATTTGTTTCTTTACAGTTTAACATCTCTTAAAAATTAAACGTTGTCATCTTTAGGTGAACCAGAACGTGTCAGAGATGATGAGCTTGTGGACGTCGCAGAAAGGTTTTCCTCTGGTCACAGTTGCTCGTAAAGAACAGGAGGTTACTGTCACCCAAGAGCACTTCCTTCTAACGTCTGATAATGCCACTCATTCCTCCAGGTAACCCAGAGTCCCACCAAACGACTGTAGTATTACTGTACCACAGCTACTGTTGTATTCAACAAGTGATTTACATATTTGCTTAAAGATAATAGAATATAATGTATACATGTTTTGAAATCCTTTTGAAGCCAGATGATTGTAATATATACAGAAAGCTTTTAGATAAAGACATTTGCTATGTCATACTTTTTTTTTTTTTGATCAAGTATTTATTGTGTTGCGCTGCAAACAGAGATGACAATGGTCACGGAACAGAAAACAAATGCGCAAACATTTTACATTTTTGTCCCCTCCCTCCCATGGGTCCACCCATCCCAACATAAATACACAAACACACACACACACACGCACACACCCAGCCCCGCTAACCCCCCACCCCATTCTCCAGGCATCAATAACATTTCATTATTTACAGACACATAATATGGCGAACTTCCTCCGTTATGAACATCCACAGAAGCCGCAGTGTTTACATAGTCTTATGTAAACAATAATAAACAAAAAAAAAAAAAAAATAATAATAATAATAATAATAATAATAAAATAAAATAAAATAAAAGACAAAGCCTTACAGAAAGGGTAAATGAAAATAAAGAACAATAGTTATGGGTTTTACATCTATGTATAATACACTGGTGTATAGTCTATACAAGTTTGGTCAATAAATTAGACCAGCAGATTACATTTACCGCTTTGGCCTTATGAACCCGGGCTGCTGACAGTTCTAATTGAGCGATCTCTCTGTACGAGGAGAGCCATTCCCTCACACTCAGAGGCTGTTTAGTTTTCCAACGGCACACTATAATTTTTTTTGCAGCGGTGAGACCAGCAAACAGTGTGCGATGCTCATTAACAGTTAGATTCAGGTCTGATGTGTCATTCAATATCAAAAGCCTCGGGGTGTGGGGAATATACTGACCTGTGATGTCAGAGAGGCACGATGAGATTGTGTTCCAGAACTGATGGACTTCAGGACATTCCCAGATCATATGAAGGTACGTTCCAATGGTATTGTCTGCACAGTAATCACAGTAAGGGTTCTCTTTTAGCTTCATCTTATGTAATTGCCTTGGAAATAAGTAGGACCTGTGGATACATTTATAATGAATCATTTGGTGATTTGGATTTCTCGATGATAGTGATAAGTTGGACCAAATTTTAGACCAGTCCCAAACGGTATAGTCATTTAAATCTGATTTCCAAAGTGATTCAATTGGCAGACGATTACATTGTGATTTTAAGATACATTTATATAGTTTGGAGACAATACCATTGAGTTTCCCTTGGCCCAGGATAGAATGGAATGGGTGGTCTGGGAGGTAGCACCCCCATGGGACCCCCTGAGCCTGCATAGCAGTCCGTAGCTGAAGATAAAAAAAGAATGACGAGCTTGGTAAATTGTAAGAAGTTCTAAGATCTTGAAATTCCCTTAGTCCATCTGGCCCTGTGATGTCTTTCAAAGAATGGATTCCCTTGTGTTCCCACTGGGGGAAAGATATTGTTTTTTTGCCTATTAAGAGTAGATGATGGTAAAAAATTGGTGACTGTAGGTGAAATATATCACTGTTTTTAGTGAACCGGTTCACCCTGTTCCAGGTCGTCACCAGGTGGGTAATGATGGGACCATGGTCTTGTTTTATCATTTTCATTGGAATGTTGGAGTAGATAAAACTTGACAAGTTATATGGTTTGACTAGCTCCATTTCAATGGGGCTCCACGATGCTGCGTTCCCAGTTCCAAGCCATGAGACCAGGGCTCGCAGAGTGAAGCACCAGGAGTACCATTCAAAATTGGGGAGGTTGAGACCCCCGGATTCTTTAGGTTTTTGAAGAGTAGATGCTTTCACTCTGGGCTTTTTATTGTTCCATAAATATGTATTAGTAAGAGAATGTAACTTCTTCCAATATCCTTTTGGTGGGTCTAAGGGCAGCATGGAGCTAATAAAATTGACACGAGGTAGTATGTTCATTTTTATAACAGATAAGCGAGCTTGAAAGGACATTGGAAGTTTTCCCCATCTCTGAAGGTCATCTTTTAGAGTTCTCAAGGTATTATTATAATTTTCGTTAATCATAGTACTCATTCTCGGATGAATTTGGATACCAAGGTATTTCATAGTTTTAACAATGGGAATATTCAGAACAGACATATCATTTGTGACAAGACTCAGAGGCATCAAAGCAGATTTTGTCCAGTTTACTTTGTAGCCCGCTATTTTGCCAAACTGCTCACAAGTGTCAAGCAAAAATGGAATTGATTTTACTGGATTGCTAGTATAGATTAGAATGTCATCGGCATATAATGAAATATGATGAACGCTGTTTTGAATCTTGATCGGCTCAGTTTCACCTGACTGTCTAATGAGTTGTGCTATCGGTTCTAGAGAGAGAGTAAATAACAGTGGTGACAGTGGGCAGCCCTGGCGTGAACAGCGGGACACAGGAAACCTAGGAGAGCAAGAAGTGCCTGTCATAACCACTGCACTGGGGTTGGCGTAAAGAGTTTTAATCATTAAGATGAAGTTTTCATCAAAACCAATATGCTTAAGCACAGACCATAAGTAGCTCCATTCTAATCGATCGAATGCCTTTTCAGCATCAAGCGAAAGAATGGCATTTTGGTTTGGAGCTTTAGATGAGCTGTCTATAACATGCAGTAATCTGCGGACATTGTCTGATGCTAGTCGGGACTTGATGAAACCAGTCTGGTCATAATGGACCAGGTCTGGCATATATTTCTCTAGTCTAGCCGCCAGAACCTTTGCAAACACCTTTAAGTCTGTATTTAGGAGACTGATGGGCCGATAGGAGGAGCATTCTGTTCGAGGTTTACCTTTTTTGAGTAGAAGTGAAATAATTGCTATATTGGAGCTGTCAGTGAAAGAGCCATTATTAATAGAAAAATGTAACATTTTTAGGAGCAACGGTCCCAACTGGGGCCAAAGGGCACAATACAATTCGGGTGGGATTCCGTCTAATCCTGGAGATCTACCTGTGTTCATTGATTTAATCGCATTAGTGAGTTCCTCTAAAGTGATTTCTGCTCCTAATGAATCTGCAGCCTCTTGTGGCAGTTTTGAAAGATTTAGTGATTTTAGAAAATCATTGCATTTTTTGTTGCTATGAGTAACCTCTGACTTATATAGTTTTTCATAAAATAATTTAAAAGCATTATTAATATCAGCAGGGTCAGAAGTCACAGTGCCATTTTCTGTAGTAATGGCTGAGATGTTGGCTAACTGCTCATTGTTTTTAATTTTTAGAGCAAGTATGCGGCTTGGTTTTGCACTGTTTGTGTAGTGGTTCTGTCGAGCTCTGTGCATTTGAAATTCTGCCTTCTGTCTCAGCAGATCACTAAGCTCATTAAAAAGTGTTGTGCGCTTATTAATTTTTTCAGGAGTGACCACATCTACCATTTCCCTCTCAATCACAGTAATTTCCTGTTCGAGAGTTGCTATTCTCTGTTTTTAGTTCTATTTAATCTGGAAGCATAGGAAATTGAGCAGTTTCTGATACATCCCTTGACAGCCTCCCAGCAGATTCTCGGGTCATTCACTGACGGTTCATTGATAGCAATAAAATCTGTTATATCCTCAGTTAATAGTTTCACAAAGTCCTCGTCCTGAAGTAAAGTTGTATTAAAACGCCATCGTGTGGCCCTGGTCTGGACTGCTTTAATTTTGAAGGAGCAAGAGACGGCTCTATGATCTGAAAATGGAAAGGGCGTCATCTCTGTAGCACAAATACTTTCAAAAAGGTTTTTTGACACAGATATATAATCAATCCTGGAGAAGGTTTTGTGACGTGCGGAATAAAAAGAAAATTCTCGAGCTGATGGATTCATCAAATGCCATGTATCAATTAGACAATATTGCTGAATTAAAGTTTGCAATGCAATAGAAGCTAGTCTTTGGTCGTTACTCTCTTTGGCTCCTGTTCTATCAGTGCTATGGTTCAATACTGCATTAAAGTCCCCCCCAATAAGGAGGCGATAATCAGTCAAATCAAGAAGAATAGAGTTTAGAGAGTCATAGAAGTCTTGATCATAGCTATTTGGTGCATAGACACACATGAGCGCAATTTTAATTCCATTTAAGATGATTTTACAGAATGTTATCCGGCCCCCTGCATTGCTGCCAGTGCCTAAATTGGAATATGTTAGATTGCGACGGATGGCTATGAGAACTCCTTTTTTCCTCTTTTCGTTGCATGATGAGGCAATAACCTCATAGTGTTTATTGTTTAGTCTATGCGTGTCTATTTGAAGAAGATGTGTTTCTTGAATAAAAGCTACATCGATGCTCCTCCTATGCAAGAAGTCTAGAGTGCTTAGGCGCTTCTGTGGAAAATTTAACCCACGTACATTCAATGAAAGAACATTAATTTTATCCATTTAATATATATGTAGTATGTGACAGGACATGAGAAACAAAAAGATACCTAGACAATACCCCCCACGCACACGCACACACACACGCACACACACACAAACAAATAAAGAAGGATTACAATGGCAAGTAATTAAAAGAAAGAAAATCAAAATCCCCCCTGAAAAAACGCAAAGAAAAAAGACCCATTCCCCCAAAAAGACAGTTCCGATAACCATGATCTGAGCTTAGACCATCTCCCCATTACAATAACAAAAGGTGGGATGCTTTGTCGTACCTGTCCCAACGTGCAATGTCTTATTATAGCCAGGAAAGTCATAAAAGAAAATGAATAAAAATAGAAAAACAAGGAAAAAAGAGAAGGGAAAAAAAGTCTTTACATCTGGCGTATTCATGTACAAAAAAGAAAACAGAAACAAAGGACCCATCAGATAGACAGTCTTACCCTGCATTGTTGTGCTAGTCACGATTATCAGCCGCGAGGAATTCTTCAGCATCCGTGGACTCCTTGAAGACATAGCTTTCGTTGCTTCGCTGGAGCTTGATTGTAGCGGGGGAGAGAAGAAACGCGTCAAATCCTTTAGTGTGGGCATCATGCATTATTTTGTAGCATGATTTACGGCGGGCTGTCGTGGGTTCGCTGTAGTCCGCGGCGAACTTTAACTGGATCCCGGCGACTTCAGGTGCGTGTTTGCGAGCCTCCTTCAGCAGCAGGTCCCTCTCGGTGTAGCGCAGGCACTTCAGGATAAGAGGACGCGGGCGATAACTATGGCCAGTGTCCGCTGAAGCAGTGGATCTCCGCGGTGGGCCCAGACGGTGCGCCCTCATGATATCCAGAGGGGCAGCCCCCAGAGCCGGGAACCACTTCGGGAAGCTCTCCATCAAGTAAGCCCGAGCGTTTGGCCCTTCCGTTCCCTCCTTAAGGTTGAATATAAGAAGGTTGTCTCTGCGAGATCTGTCTTCCATCTCGGTGATTTTTGCCTCCAATGACTTTTGGTGCTTGTTAGTTTGCGTGATACGTTCCTGCAGCATGTTTGTATCAGCACGCAAAGTTTTGATTTCGTCAGTATGACGGCAGAGAATGGAATGCATGCTTTCAATGCGCTTTTCTAATCTGTTACTACGGGCCTCGGATTTGTCGTCCGCTTCTTTGAAGAATTTTGCCATAGTCTCTTCGATTACTTTGGCGAGAGCAGAATTCTCCACGCCAAGTTCCTTGTTTAAGTCCGTCATAATGGCTTGCTTCGCAGCAGTGTTTTGTCTCGTTTTCCTCATTAATATGCACTTTGGCAGTATTGTCTCGTGTTAGCACCGGCTTTATCCCATTTCCAAAGAGTTACATGAAAAGTTTTGTACTGGGGAGAGCGTGTTGTCTACGCTGCCACCATGACACCGGAAACCTCTCAATTGTGCTTTTTTTCTATCTCTCTTTTCTTTAAGTGAAGGTGGAAATCAGAAAACTATGTCATACTATATTACAATACTCACTATACTTCAAACTTCTCCTCAGTGTGTGGCACATCCCTGTGAGCTACATTAATGACAGCTGTAGTTTGGCTGCTGAGTGCAGACAACTGTTCACCCTAAAGACAAAATCAGGTAAGCTTTCTTGAAAGAGCACTTTGTGTTCCCTTGTGCAGGAACTGTGCTATCCAAATAAACCTGCCTTGCCTTGCCTTGCATACTTATCTATAAAATGCAATGTACTTAACACTTTTTTTTTTAGCTACAATAAAGTTGCCTGCAAAAGTAAAGTGGATGAAGTTGAACTATAGAAATACAGGCTTTTACATTGTGGACTATGGAAAAGAAGGCTGGAGTGAACTCTGTGGTGCATTGGCAAATAATTATCAAATTCTTACAAGTGAAGATCGAACATCATTAATACACAACATTTTTGCCCTTTCCAGGTGAGCCTTGCCTGAAAAAATACAGAGAAAATATTGGTAACTTATAACCCTGTTTTATTTTCTTTTTAAGGCTTGATCGTGTGTCATTTCAGCAAGTTCTCCAGGTTCTAAAATACTTGTCCAATGAGACGGAGACCACTCCCGTCACAGAAGCGCTGCTGCAGCTTAACACCGTCTACAACCTGCTCGATAAACGCCACGAACATGAACTCGGAGCTCGTTTAAAGGTAAAAAAAAAAATACTTATTTGTGATTGTTTGTATATATATATATATATCACATATACAGTATATATGTGTAAAAATGTCCAATACTTTTTATTTTAAAACAATATTTTTTTTTTATTCTGCAGGCGTATATATTCAGTCTTTTTGGGTCTTTGATTAGAAATCAAACATGGGAGGAAATAGACAGTGTGTCAAAACAAGAACTGCGCTCTGCACTGCTTCAGACCGCATGTCGACTTAATGACGAAAGCTGCATAGAAAAGGCTAAAGACATCTTCAAAAGATATGTTGAATCGAATGGGACTATGCGGTGAGCCAATTAATTTTCTTCAACATGTCAAAGGTGTAACAGAAATTAGTACAACTTATATTTTTTTATTGTGTTAATTTCAGAATCCCTGGGGATTTGCAACAAGTTGTTTTCAACGTAGCAGCGCAGTCAAATGACTGGTCTACTTTATTTACTTTATACGGAATTACCAACTATGATGCAGAAAAAAGAAAAATGTTAAAGGGCTTGGCCTCCTCTCAAGACTCCCAACAGGCTGTATGGTGAGTGTAGGCAATTATGTTGGCAATTTGGACTGTAAACAAAATTGAATTAATGAATTATTTCTTCTCCAGGATTTTACAAGAAGGACTCCGAGGGCAGATTGTTCAGACACAGGAGTTACCTTTAGTCATTGCCACTGTGTGTAATGGCTTTGCTGGCAACTTGTTTGCCTGGGATTTTATTCAGGAAAACTGGGATGGACTGATTGAAAAGTAAGAAGCACACTTCATGTTTCAGTTTTTTAAATTACTTTACTAACATGTCATTTTTTTAATAGATTTCCTATTGGATCATTTGCAATTCAGAGAATTATCAAGTCTATAACTTCTCAATTTTCCACCAAGTCACACCTTGACCAAGTAAGCATTATCATATTTTCTATGTTCATGTTCGTGTGTCTACAATGTTTCTCAATAACTTGCATCTTGCTTTGTAGGTTCAGGGTTTCTTCTCCAGCTTAAAGGAGCGTGGCTCCAACATGAGAAGTGTACAGGAGGCTTTGGAAACCATCAAACTCAACAAGCGCTGGATGGACACTAACCTGGCCTCTCTCCGAAAGTGGCTTTAGTATTTCACTCCATGCTGGACATGTTCTAAAGATAAAAGCAGAGTTTGCACTATTGAAGGCCAATGTCTCAGGCATCCTTCTAACCCAGGCCAGGAGCAGCTCCAAAGCCTACGTTTGCCCTGTCTTGAGGTAAACAAGGTGGTGTTTGTTGACATTGACCCTTTTTAAAACCTCAGGGCCTGTTCTGTCTTAAGAGCTTATGACAGATACAGCTCATGATCCTCACACGTCTCGATGCTACGATGTTACTCTTATGGTTATTTTCAACAATTTTTTTATTTGCTCTAAACTATTTTACCCTTTGGAAACGAGAACATTACAATGAGCGCATATGTTAACTCAAACAGTGCCAAATATAATGCTCTCATCATAGAAGTGTCTTTTTCACACCATACAAAATAGATTAGGGGTAGAAAATGGATGGATGGACAATTGAAATATTCAAATCAAGTATTTATTACTTTTAGTTATGTTTTTCCTTGGCTTTGGTTGAATGTAATCAAACCATCCACTGTGCAAAGTTTGCGGCAGTTGAGCACAGAATTAATTAATAGCTTTAACTGGAGCCCAAGCTTTCTATTGACAAAGTATCATGTAAATAAGACGACTCACTTTAATAATTATACATTTTTTAAGAAGGATTGTTAGGAATATACATGAAGGTGTTCCCTGTTGCCACTGTGGCTCTGTTGCTCATGAATGTTATTTTTAAGAGCTTTCCGTGATTGCTACAGTCTAAAACAATATAAAAGCCTCTGGATTTTATTTATTTTTATTAAGCTGTAAGAATAAATGTTACAGCAAGGGGTGGACGCATTACTTTTACTTTTGACTATGCTGAAGATCCAACTACAAAAGGTTTTTTTTCATCTTTCTGTTACACTCCATCTTAAATGTTGGGATTTGTGTGTTTTTTCTCTGTGTTATAGATTGTAAGGTCAAAATTAGCCTCACACTCTGATCCATTGGATCCATTTGATCTGTTTGCATATATATATATTTATTATGTATTTACTTGATTTTGTTCTTTTTGTTCAGCAAAGCTTTTGGATTCAAAAAGGGGAAACAGCGATGTAACCTGCAGATGTGCATAATTTATGAAATAAAGATGTCGGTACACACATAATGAAGTTTAATGTTGTCAGATCTTCCTCAATATTCAGTCTCTTTATAGTATCCTGTATGTAATGTTGTATCGATTCACCACAAGTTGTCCTTTTGTGTTCTATGACAAAAATAAATATATACACTATATACAATGCCTTGCGAAAGTATTCGGCCCCCTTGAACCTTTCAACATTTCGCCACATTTCAGGCTTCAAACATAAAGAAATGTAAAAAAAATATTTTTTTTGTCATGAATCAACAACAAGTGGGACACAATCGTGAAGTGGAACGAAATTTATTGGATAATTTAAACTTTTTTAACAAATAAACTGAAAAGTGGGGCGTGCAATATTATTCGGCCCCTTTACTTTCAGTGCAGCAAACTCACTCCAGAAGTTCAGTGAGGATCTTTGAATGATCCAATGTTGTCCTAAATGACTGATGATGATAAATAGAATGCACCTGTGTGTAATCAAGTCTCCGTATAAATGCACCTGCTCTTTGATAGTCTCAGGGTTCTGTTTAAAGCGCAGAGAGAACCATGAAGACAAAGGAACACACCAGGCTTTAAACATCTCAAGGAGCACGGTGCAAGCAATTATATTGAAATGGAAGGAGTATCAGACCACTGCTAATCTACCAAGACCCGGCCGTCCCTCCAAACTTTCATCTCAAACCAGGAGAAGACTGATCAGAGATGCAGCCAAGAGGCCCATGATCACTCTGGATGAACTGCAGATAACTACAGCTAAGGTGGGAGAGTCTGTCCATAGGACAACAATCAGTCGTGCACTGCACAAATCTGGCCTTTATGGAAGAGTGGCAAGAAGAAAGCCATTTCTCAAAGATATCCATAAAAAGTCTCGTTTAAAGTTTGCCACAAGCCACCTGGGAGACACACCAAACATGTGGAAGAAGGTGCTCTGGTCAGATGAAACCAAAATCGAACTTTTTGGCCACAATGCAAAACGATATGTTTGGCGTAAAAGCAACACAGCTCATCACCCTGAACACACCATCCCCACTGTCAAACATGGTGGTGGCAGCATCATGGTTTGGGCCTGCTTTTCTTCAGCAGGGACAGGGAAGATGGCTAAAATTGATGGGAAGATCGATGGAGCCAAATACAGGACCATTCTGGAAGAAAACCTGTTGGAGTCTGCAAAAGACCTGAGACTGGGATGGAGATTTATCTTCCAACAGGACAATGATCCAAAACATAAAGCCAAATCTACAATGGAATGGTTCACAAATAGACGTATCCAGGTGTTAGAATGGCCAAGTCAAAGTCCAGACCTGAATCCAATCGAGAATCTGTGGAAAGAGCTGAAGACTGCTGTTCACAAACGCTCTCCATCCAACCTCACTGAGCTCGAGCTGTTTTGCAAGGAAGAATGGGCAAGAATTCCAGTCTCTCGATGTGCAAAACTGATAGAGACATACCCCAAGCGACTTGCAGCTGTAATTGCAGCAAAAGGTGGCGCTACAAAGTATTAGCGCAAGGGGGCCGAATAATATTGCACGCCCCACTTTTCAGTTTTTTATTTGTTAAAAAAGTTTAAACTATCCAATAAAGTTCGATTGTGTTGTGTTGTATCCACTTCACGATTGTGTCCCACTTGTTTTTGATTCTTGACAAAAAATTTAATTTTTATATCTTCATGTTTGTAGCCTGAAATGTGGCGAAATGTTGAAAGGTTCAAGGGGGCCGAATACTTTAGCAAGGCACTGTATAATATGAATAATTATAATAATCACAATCTGTTCAAAACAAATACACATACAAGTTACATAATGTAAAAAATACTTATTAGATTTATCTCTGATCTATTTGTGCCTTCCAAAGTATGTGACCGAATAACACATGACGCATTTAAACATGTAAGATGTTGATGTCTGCAGATACAAGTCCACGGGTCAACGAGAGAACTCCATCTGGCCTCAAATGAACTACTAACACCATTCACAATGAAACCATCCAATTTAGGGAAAACTAACAGGAAATTAAAATCTTTATAAGGTAGAAAATAAAGCAATCATCACATTTGTATTTAGCATGTGCTTTTTTAATCATGTCTTGCATTAAACTGAAGTGTGTCACTGGACAATCTCGATCAGTTTGGCCTGACTCCATTCAATCTTGAGGCCCGTTTAGTGTTATCAATTAGAACGAAAGAAAGAACGAGAAATATTTAAAAAATACTGAACTCATATTTTATTGCAAACATTTGTAATAATAGTTCTAATATATTTGTTCCATAAAGCACTTTTTTTGGCACTCAAAGACAGACACACACATTCATTCAACCCATACACGGTGGTGATAAACTACCCTTGTAGCCACAGCTGCCCTGGGGCACACTGATTTGATTTGATTGATTTTTTGCACATATTTATATTTTAAAATATGCATTTTCAAAAACAACTGTGCTGGAGAGAGTGAAAAGACCAAGTGGTCTTATAGGATCACCTCCCCCAAAATCACGTTAAAAACAGGCAAGGCAATAACAGGCAAGACAACACTGAATAAAGAATGATTTTCATCTAGAAACCTGGGTAATATTGACGACAGCAAAGATCATGATCACACACGACCTGCCGTGCAGAAGCCACACCTGTTCACAGATCTGCAGACTGGCGCCGTCTGCTTTTTGGCTGTCATGTGGAACATTTTGGGCAAAGCAGGGCATGAGGTTAACATGTCAAGTGTTATGTGCACATAGGGCGATCTATTTCAGTATGTGTCAAAATGTGGACCTTCCTATCGAAAAAGTCGGATTTACAGGACTGAAAAATAACAATTCAGAATATTAGAAGACTGTGCGGCATGCTTCACTGGTTTGAAGATTACTTCTTGACCTTGAGCAAAGTTTGTGCAGTTATGTTGTAAACTAGCCCCGCCTAAATATTATTTTCTGATTCAGAGCAGAATCGTCAGGATGTCGTTGTCAGGATAGCTGTAATATTTACAGTCTATAGTTGTAAACTATCATTTTACAGAAAAATACAAAGTTCTTATCAATGGATAAAGCATTATCCATTGACTACAGCCTTCTGTCGCAGACCAACAGAAGTAAGGCTGACAAGCGGCTCCTCTGACCACCACCGAACTGAGTGCAGTAAAAATATTTGCACATATGTATACATCCCCTTTCCTTTTTACACAATGAATCAGGACCAGATCCGAGCAGGGGATGTTTTGTGGGACCAGTAGGGGGCAGTAGTGAGGCCCAATGCCCACAGCATGCTACTGTATATAGCATGGGTCATCTGGTAGGCTGGCTGGTGACAGAGGACAATCTCTGTGTGGGGTTTTAAAGTGTCCAAAAGTGCCAATATTCACAGAGCTTTGACTTTCTAAAGAGTCCAGTTTGTGGATGAGGCGGACCAGGGGCGATTGTAGACTTTCAGCTTCAGGGGTGCTTAGCACCTTGGGGTGGGTGGGGCATAGATTGATGGAATTTCAATATGAGGGAAATTTAACTTCAATGGGCTCATAAGAAGAAATGTATGCATATAACTTATTTATTGTAATAATAGTACAATAAAACATAAATAGATCAGACTGGCTCAGTACAGTACGACAATTAGTTACAAAAATGACACGTTCTTACAACATATCTTACAATTCTGAAATGCAGCATACTCTGATTCTTAAAGAGTTAATCTGTGACACCTCACTCTCAGTCGTGCAAATCTGTCATTTTTGTCAAGAACTTCCTTTTCAACTGACATAACTGCCAGGTTGTAAATCCTACTTTGACCAGAGGTCCTTCTCAACTAAGAGCTACAGCTGCTAAGAGGAATAGTCAATGCAAACTGTAAGACTGTTTTTAGGGATAGAAACACCTCAGTTTCCAAGAGGTTGTACACTGAGAGCATGTCTTGCATTGGCATTGCCTCACTCTTGGGCTTAAGGTCATTTTTAGCGACAATCACATCTTCTGTCCTCTGATCAATGTGATCATGTTGGGCCAGTGTTGACAAATGATGCTCAGATAAGAAAAGGGCAGATGTAGGACTGCATGCTTTACCTTGAAGCAACATCTGACTAACACCAGAAAATCTCTTCAAGTTCAGCCAGCATACAATCCAAACCAGAAAACAAAAGTTTCCTTTGATAGTCCACAAACTCTGAGGAAACATCAGCTTCCCTCCTTGCCCCTCATGAGGATTCCACAACATCTAATTTTCTTGCCTTAGTTTACCTGAAGATGGTTCTGGAATCTCATTTGCCTCACACAGAATCTTTGCTCTTAAATGTCTGCAGCCGTTACATCACTTGGTTTCTCTTTAAGGGAATCAATAATGGCATCTATGTAAGATAAGGCATGTGCTAAGTCAACATTCTCTTTTTGCAGAAACCTGTGCAACCCTGAAGTGGTTGAAAGTAGAGCCTAAAAAACTAGTCACATCTTAAGATCAGCTTGTTCTATTGTGCTCGTATTTGCTTCAAACATTGCCCTCAAAGCAAATATAAGAAATAATAATTCCATGACTCACACAACTCATGCTTGGACCAACATTTGTAGTATAGTTTTCTGACATTGATACACATTTGTGTTGTTAGTATCTTACCTGCTGTTCTCCCTCACTCTGCCCCTGATCAATATTCTCCTTCCCTTTAACTGCTGTCAACCAAAAGACACATTTAATATGCATGAAGTACACGTTAAAGTAAATATAGCACCTAATAATTTAAAACTTAAGGTCGGATCACAATTTTTTTTTATTCTGACTATTTTGATTTTGCATTACTGGGATCAAACTAAAGGATGAAGTTTTGCTTTGATCCTCTGATGACATCAGGAGTATCTTTATACCTGATGACAGACAAACACTGTGTGTTATATCAGGACACACAGACTAATTCAGGCCAGTTACTGTCCTTTATACTATTTAATAGTTCCCTAAAAATTACACAAACCTTTCCCTTTGAAAAACGCTCTAATATCCATCTTTGCAGTAAG